GCAGAGCAGCCTGGACACTGCTCCCTGACGCTGGTGGGGGGCGGGAGGGGAGCCAGCTCGCTGGTGACAGGTGCGTCCCCAGGCCACGCCGCCTGCACCCACCTCCCCACCCCCCACCAGCCGGCTGCGTGGCCTCAGCAAGTCTCACGACTCCTGCACTTGCCTGTCATCTGTCCAATGCAGATAGTACATTACCTGCCTCCCAGGCTGGTCGGAAAACTCGGTGAGGTATAACGTGCAATGCACTTAGAACCGTGTGAGATGGCTCAGTCACAGTGAGTGTTGGCCATTAAGGTGATGAAGTGAGAACAAATGATGTCATTTTAATCTTTCAGTTACTAGGGAGACATTATGAATAATTATTTTAAGAGCTCTGACCATTTTCCCTCATCCTAAGGTGCCTGAGAGGGGCTTCCCCGGTGGCTCAGCTGGCAGAGAATCTGCCTGCAGTGCAGGAGACCCCAGTTTAATTAATTCCTGGGTCAGGAAGGTCCCCTGGAGGCGGGCACAGCAACCCACTCCAGTGTTCTCGCCTGGAGAATCCCACGGACAGAGGAGCCTGGCGGGCTGCAGTCCATGGGGTCATAGAGCCGGACACGACTGAGCGACTAACACTTGCACTTCCAAGGTGCCTGAGCGCTCACGGGTAGATGTCAGCATCGTGGTGCGTCTCCTTCTACAGAAGGAGACGTCCTGTACGTGCTGAAGGATCAGAGGGCGAGGCAGGGAGAGCTCTCTCCCGAGTGTGACTGGCCAGGGGTGACGTATACACTCAGTCTGCAGGGCTCTGCTTGAAAACACCACCGGCTTGTCTCTCGTCCACCCATCCCTGGGCAGGTGGCAGTGCGGGGCTCCAAGGTCACCTTGAGCTGCGTTCCATAAGGAACGTCGACTCGCTGCCACGACCTCCCTGCACCACCGCCTGGGGCAGAGGGCATGAGACAGACGACAGGAAGGGGAGAGGTTGAGTCAGCACCTGGGGCTCCACCGCCCCAGCAGACCCCCCGCGAGATCAGAGAACCCCAAAGGCGCGGGCTGGGGCTTCTTTGTCCTCGACTGCTGATCTCCGACCTGAGGAGGGTTATAGGGGTCACAGTGCATCGTCCTCACATACAGGGAACGCACTCGGGAGTCACAGAAAAACACATCTACTTTAGGCTGCCCAGGTGGGAAATGAACACCTCTTTGTGAAATCAATCTCATTTTAAATCCTCAGCCGAGGCCAGGAAAGTTTCATGAGCCCAGTGGGTTGGTCTAAGCCAAGCCCTAGTGCAGGAGCCTGAAGCCACCACTAACTTGTCTTGAAGCCACGGGTGCCTACCTTTCTTTCTCAGCTTTCGCATCTGTAAAACGGCCCTCGCTTGCTCACTGGCTTAGTCGCTCAGTCGTGTCTGACTCGTTGCAACCTCATAGACTGTAGCCTTCAGGCTCCTCTGTCCTTGGGATTCTCCAGGCAAGGATACAGGAGTGGGTTGCCATTTCCTTCTCCAGGGGATCCTCCCAAACCAGGGATCGAACCCAGGTCTCCTGTGTTACAGGCGGATTCTTTACTGTCTGAGCCGCCAGGGAAGCCCCCCAGATGACCATGGTTCTGCTTATTCAAAAGCTGTTTGGGGAAGAAACACAGTGAGCAGGAGCCTCTGGAGCCCGACGTGCCTGCCAGGGGCAGGTAGTCTGGATGGGCGGGTGCGAGCTTGGCTTCTCTGGTCCAACCTTTGGTTCCAGCCGGCGCTCCAGGCCCACCTTAGGACCTCTGAGACGCGGGCCTTCCCCTCTGGGCTCGGAGGCCCGTGACAGCAGCTCGTCTCCAGGCCTCAGTGAGGCTTAGATGAGGGAAGGCGCACCTTGGGGGGGAGCGTCTAGGCAGTGCTGTTGTCCCTGAGCTCTCATTCGTTTGGTTATTAAACACGGCTTTTCCAGGTGCCGGAAGCAGGTCACACAGGTGTGCGTGTGACTCAGGCCTGGGGGTACCTCGGAGAAACACGAGGGCACCCTTGGTCCCTGGTCACAGCTGTCAGCCTGGTGGCAGTGGTTGCTAGAACTGTCCTGGAGAGGGACGTTTCTCACTTGACTGTGAGCGAGGTATGTGCTAGACCTTTCCCAGAGCTGTGGACCATGCTGGCCGGGTGGAAGAGGGGCCAGGTGAGCCCTTGGAGAGGCCAGAGGGAGGCAGCCTGGGGGCGTCACGGCCTCAGCGGGGGCTGGAGGAAGACCACTGTCTGTACTAGAACCAGTTTCTTAGCATCACGCCCCGGGCAGGAGTCCCCCGGTGATTAGTGTCTGATGCTGGACTTTGGTTTTGCGTTCAAGAGCCCCCTTTGCAGGCAGACCAAGCTCACCGCTTGGCCCTGACCTCAGCTAGACCTCCCTCGGAGGCCCCCACTGCCCTCGATGGCATCGTGAGAAATCGTACATCGCCCTGTGTCCTCAGACACATCGAGAGCCCGTGCCCGTCAGAAACGCCGACCCTGCAGTGAAGCGTGGTCCCCGCGGCGCTCCCCTTCTGCACCTGCCGTGGGCGCCCCCGAGGGGAGAGGGGCCCCGCGCTGGTGTCTCTGGGGCCGAGGCAGAGCCAGGGTTTGTACAGGCTGAGGACAGCTACAGACCAGGGTGCTCGCGGACGGTCTGATTTGCAGCTACTTTATGACCTGACTTGAGGAGGAATTTGTCTCATTCCGGGTATAATCTTCCAGGATGGTTTTCGTTCTAGGAGTCGGACTTCATCGTGCTGAAATCCAGATATTTTCAATAACAACGTCCGTACCGTCTGTTGAAGTCACTTGGAATTTTGGAGTCAGCCCATCAGGGAGGGAGATAGAAATCTTTCCAGGATGAAGACACTGAGCAATCCCCCTGGTTTCAGAGAGCGTCAGACCCAGAGTCTGCAGGCCCCAGGCAGGCTGGTCACCGCTGGCCTGGGTTCAGCCTCTGATGCCCGCAGTGGGACCAGGTGTATTAGAGGGTAGGATGGGCAGGAAGGAGCAGTCGCCACGGGAACGCTCACCTGGGTATTAGTTGGGCGCCTGACGTGGACACCCGCCAGCAACCCTAGGGGCTCCTCAGAGTCACAGCGCCTGCCGTGTCCAGCGCCTGTCTCATCAGGAAAGGGCAGGAAGGCGACTGGACCCGGCAGCCTGCGGGGCAGGGTCCTGGAAGAGCCGGGACGCCAGAGGAGAGGCCGCCGGCTTCTTCCCTCGCAGGCGCTTTTCCTGTCCATGAGGGGCTGGCCGCAGGCCCTGCCATCGCCCCGTGTCGGCCTGGGGTTGAGCCCCCACACCCAGACGTGCGGGTTCGGGCCCTGCGGGGGAGACGGAGCTGAACGGGGCCCGGGGAGTGGGTGATCTCTAATCCTCCCTTTTCAAAGTTCTACTTACAGAAAAGAACACAAGTGGTTTCATTTGACGTTTCACTCTGGATCCTTAGGTTTAATTCTCAATTAACTTTACTAACTTTAGTCTTGTCAGACAAAAGAGCTGTGATCATCCATTACCTTTGCACCAGGAGGCGCTCTGGGTTTTTCCCTAATCGTGATACCGAGTGTCAGCACAGAAGAGGCGGGAGGTTCCGTCTGCTGACACAGGAAACGCTGCTCTCTGGCCAGAGCTCAGAGCAGCCCACCATTCTGCCAGCACCTGTCTGCGCACTTCCTCTCTGTCTTATCACGTCGTGGGCTCACCTGAAACACTGCAGATGAGGAGGAGCAAGAAGGGAAACCGGGGGCACGGGTCAAACCTCAGGAGTGTGGGCTAACTGGGGGGAAGGCTGGTCTTGAATCACTGTGAATTCATGAGGGTTCCAAACTATGTATATGTATACATATGTGTGTAACACATGTGTGTGTATATATGTATGAAGAGTGGCATCCTTTTGAATATCTGTGAAGACCCAAATAGATAGTATGCATATTTACACGTGGGGCTTCCCTGGTAGTTCAGCTGGTAAAGGATCCACCTGCAATGCAGGAGATCTGGGTTCGATCCCTGGGTTGGGAAGATCCCCTGGAGGAGGGCATGGCAGCCCACTCCAGTATTCTTGCCTGGAGAATCCCCATGGACAGAGGAGCCTGGCGGGCTACGGTCCATGGATTGCAAAGAGTCGGACACGACTGAGCGACTAAGCACAGCACAGATACACACGTACATGCATGCGCCTGCATCTCTTGCTTCATTCCTTTAGATGAAGGCTCATTTAGGGGTCGTCACGGCAGAGGACACTGTCGCTAACTTGCTGACACCTGGCCAGGGTGCCCGCCTTTGGCACTGAATCACTGTCTGTAGTCAGGCTGTTCTGTGCGCAGTTTGGCAGCATCTCCGCCTCAATGCACAGGAGGAGACTAGAGCCACCCCACCCCCCAGCCCCAGTGTCTGAGACATTTCCAGTGAGAACTCCTGCTCCAGATCTCGTAGGATCATTCCCAGGCCACAGCGTCCCCAGCAGTCAACTTGGGAGAGCTCACCCTCCCAGGATGACCATCAAGGGTCCTAGCACTCAGAGGCCACACAAGGCCCATGCAGTTGTCACTGGAGGTGCACGTGGAAACGTGTTCTGAGGGGCGAACGTTCCGTTCGTACTGCACGCGTGCCAAGCTGCTTCAGCGGTGCCCAACTCTTTGCGACCGTATAGACTGTAGCCCGCCAGGCTCCTCTGTCCATGGGGATTCTCCAGGCAAGAGTACTGGAGTGGGCTGCCATGCCCTCCTCCAGGTGACCTTCCCCACCCCAGGATCAAACCCAGGTCTCTTACGCCTCCTGCATTAGCAGGCGGGTTCTTTCAGTAGCACCATCCTGGGAAGCCCTACTTTTGTACTACACATTTGCTTATGGAACCCACCCCGGCCTAGGTACCAAATGCCAGATGATGAACCACGCTGCTGCTCCTGGGAAGCCCAACGTGGACTTAGGGTTGCTCGAGTTGTTACTGGCTTTATCCACACGGCCGTGTTTAGCAGAGGGGAGCTTTGGAGATGATGTGGCTGAAACCCCTGCCCTTCTTTCCCGCAGGAATCCTCACGGTAAACAGAGCGAACGAGCTTCTGAGCACCTGCGTGCCGGGCAGCTTTCTGGTCCGGGTCAACGAGAAGGTCAAGGGCTACGCCCTGTCCTACCAGTCCGAGGACGGCTGCAGACACTTCCTCATAGATGCCTCCTCGGATTCATACGGCTTCCTGGGCGTGGACCAGCAGCAGCACGCCAGCCTGGCCGAGCTGGTGGAGTACCACAAGGTGTGGCCCCGCACTCGCTTCATTCGCTCGGTGACGGGTGTCCTGCGGCTGCTCTGACAGTGAAGGGCCGTTCCACGGAAAACAGCTGAGACGAGCAGGGAGATCAGGCCCCCGCTCTGATAACTCCTCCCGATAATAGTGCTCAAGCTCAGTCGTGTCCGACTCTTTGCAGCCCCATGGACTGTAGCCTACCAGGCTCCTCTGTCCATGAAGTTTCCCAGGCAGCAATACTAGGGTGGGTTGACATTTCCTCTTCCAGGGGATCTTCCCGACCCAGGGAGCGAACCCACATCTCCTGCATCACCTGCATTAGCAGGCGAATTCTTTTAACCGCTGAGCCATGTGGGAAACCTTCCCGATAACAAGGATTGTTAATTGCATTTCCTTTATCACTGAACCTGGTCCCTCCTCATATACTCAGGGAGAACCCACAGGGGTAGAGAATGCAGGAGATGATGCAAAAATCTGTGCACGCCGATCACATCTGAGAACACTTTTTAAGTATAGTTGATTTACAGTCTTGTTCTAATTACTGCTGTGTGCCGCAGAGTAATTCCGTTATACATGCACACACAGACACATTCTTTTGAAAACTAGATTCTTTTCCATATGAGAACACCCTTAAGTGAGAGCACAAGCCCGGGAAGGAGGGAGGCCACAGGGCAGCTTGTGGACAAGAAATCTCTCTTTCGGGGTTTCCTGAGCCAAGAAAGCTTAGTGTAAAGCGAGGGGAGACCAGAGGCTGTGTGCTCCGGCAAGGCAGGAAGGGCTGCTTACGAAAGTGTCTTGTAAGTAAGACTCGGGAGCCTGGGCTGATGCCCGTGCTGCTCTCGGGGGCCTGCAGCCTGACCTGTTTACTGTCTCCCTCCCAGGAGGAGCCCATCACCTCCCTGGGGAAGGAGCTCCTTCTGTACCCCTGCGGTCAGCAGCAAGAGCCGCCCGACTACCTGGAGCTGTTTGAGTGACAGGCCTGCAGCCAGCAGACCCCGCGGCTGTGGACACACGTGAGAAGCCACCGCAAGCCAGCCCCGACCAAGTGAAAGGACCCTTGAGGTTCCCTAAAGATCGCTGCATGCAGGCTGGAGTTTCACGCCAGGAGAGAATCCCCTCCTCCACGTTGTACATGCCCCAGCAGTAAAGGGAGATGAACCCGCACTTCCACAGCTCCTAACGTGAAGGCTACGACACTTACGACGTGTGAAACAAACCAAGAAACTGGTACCTTGTAGGAATTAAGTGCGAGCGAAATCGCTTCGGTCATGTCTGACTCTTTGCAACCCCATGGCTGTAGCCCGCCAGGCTCCTCTGTCCATGGGATTCTCCAGGCGAGAATACTGGAGTGGGTTGCCATACCCTCCTCCAGGTGACCTTCCCCACCCAGGGAGCGAACCCGCATCTCTTACATCTTCGGCCTCAGCAGGCACGTTCTTTGCCACTAGCACCACCTGGGAAGCTCATCGGAATCAAGGGACACCTCAAAACCAGGCTCTCCCGCAGCCTTACGGGAAGGTCCCAGGCTCCTGTTCACGTAAAGTTCAGGTGGCATTGGGGGCTGAGCCGACCGCCCCCACCCACCTCGCTTACTGGGCGTGTGGCAGACAGGGTGTGAGACACAGGGGACAAGAGTTGGAGGTGGGGTGAGCTGAATGGGGAGTTTGAAGGTGTCGGAAGAGGGGCTTCACATGCACAGAAATACCCTGGATGAGGGCAGGAGGCGGGGGACCAATGTGAGTGGTTTCCCAGCTCTGGGGGAGCGGGCAGGGCTCCAGCCAGGACCACACCGAGAAGGAGAAGCCCCGCGCGTGACTGGTGTTGGCAGACGGACCAGGGCATTTGGGGGAGCACCCTGGACACCACGTGTCCTGGGATGAGACACCCCCCTGCACCTGAACCTGACCTTATTTGGAAACAGGGTCTTTGAGGCTGAGGTCAGACCAGATGAGGGCGGGCCCAAAGCCGACAGCTGGTATTCTGACAAGGAGAGAGAGCTCTGGAAGTGGAGGCACACCGAGGCAGAGCCCCGAGTGAGAAGCTCGGGGACACGGGGGCCTGCAGGGTGGCTGGAGCCCCTCCTCCCCAGGCCCCTGGGGACACCTCAGCTTCAGACTTCTAGCCTCCAGGGCTATGACGGAATAAATGTCCTTTTTCTTAGACCACTGAGTTTATGGTAATTTATTACGGGAGAGCCCCAGGAAGCGAATGGAGACATTTGCGTCGTCACAGATGCTGAGGGGCACGGTGTGCCCGTGGTCACTGTTCAGCCTGCCCGCCTCCTAATGAAGGGCAAGGGGGAGATAACCTCCCCTGGCGATTCTGGCAGATGCACTGGGTCAGGCGTCTCCTGCCCCACCGACCCCACCCCAGCCTCCAGCGGCTCCTGGATGAGCCCCGGCGAGATCGTCCTGGGACAGGGGGCCCTGACTGGTACTCCGGGCCTGACCCCTGTGGCAGCTGTTCTCCTAAAGGAAGTGTAGGGCTGTAGCGGTCTGTCCGTGAGGGTGGTGGTTGTGCCAAACACACCTTGACTGTGTAAAGTATAGTCAGAGAAGGGGGTGGGGTACCTGTATGTGTGTGAGTATGCATGGGTGTGTGTGGGCTTTAACGAGAACGTTTTTAAACAGATTATTAAGTGCTTCTTAAAATGTTCCCTGTGGTTTCTGTTGTCTGAGAGATCGTGTCTCAGTTGTCTAAGAGATCGTGTCTCAGTTGTCTAAGAGATCGTGTCTCTCAGCTTTCATGTCTAATAGTAGTTTGGCAGTCATGACATTATAGAACTGCAGAGATACACAAGGGCTGGGGGTCAGAAACTTCTGTTCCCATCTCTTCCCACCATTAGCTATATGACCTTGGACATGTCCCTCTACCTCTCTGAACCTCAGTTTTTCACTTCTAACAAAATAAGGAGGGATAACCAGGTCATTATTTATTTTTACCCAGCTCTGAAATCTCAGAGTTCTGAAACGAATAAAAAAATATCCTATAGTCACTAGTAATTATGAGGACAGATAAGATGTTGGCATCATCCTCTGCTGACAGTTATTTTGGAGGAAGTAAGGAAGTCCTACCCAGAATCCACTACACTGAGTGACATCCTGCTGGAGGAAGACTTGGGAAATAGAGGATGATTGACTGAGCGAACCTGCTATCAGCAGGGGGAGCAGATTTGAGTTCTTCATAATCTTACCCTGTTGGTTATTGATACTCAGAACAAGAAACCGTCCCGTGTTTGATGATATGATGGCCAAAAGTAACACTTGATATTCTAAGGGGGAACATTTTACATAATTCAGCAATTGTTTACAACTCAGTGGAGTTGCAGAAACCTGAGTTCTCATCACAGCTCTGCAGTTAGACTCAGTCTCCCAGTGTCTGAGCCCGGTTGTAGCTGAAGGCCAGGATGTCCACTCCAGCCTGGTCTCACCCTCCCGTGGCCTCGGTCCAGCCAGCGCCTGCACCTGCCTGCCAAGGCTGCCTGGTCTGGGGGCCTCCCCAGGCGCTGCAACCACCCACCTCGGAGGGACCGTGCCAAACACCGCTCCCTGACGCATCACTCATCCCTCCCCCTGGGAGACCCTGGGTCTCCTCCTACCCCAGACCCTCCGCTGCAGCTCCCCCTGCCCCTCCCCCCGCCAGCCCCTGCACCCCGACCAAACTTCCAGCAGGCTGAGGAGGCTGCACCAGAGCGTCTCTCTGCCCATCAGCATCACCAGGAGGCCAAGCGACATGCAGAAGTGTCAACAGGCTCAAACCTCACACCAAGAAGAGGAAAACACAGGGACACAAAAGAATCCAGAGAAAGGGGAGAGTGAGCCAGGGCACGGCCAGGCCACTCAGGAGCATTTGTGCCCCAAACGCCCTTCTGAGCTAACACTTTGGGATTAAGCATCCTGTCAGTGTAGGGTCGCGGCTGCTGGGGCACCAGGTCTGTTTTTAGATTAAAAATAATTTTTGTCTATTTTTTTTTTGCAATCACAGCCTCTGCAGAGGCAGCCTCCTTCATGCACATGCATCCTAACGCAGGTCACGGCCTCACACACATGTACCCAGGACTCCTGCACCTGGAGTGCGCAGAGGACACAGGGATGTACAGGGGATGCTCAGACGTGTCTCCAAGGGGTGTCTTTGCTTTCATTAGGTCAAGAACGTGGTAGACGTTTTCCTTCCAGACTACACTGCACAAGGTTTTTGTTTCAGAGCCTAGTTCAGTCCAGTTCAGTCACTCAGTCGTGTCCGACTCTTTGCGACCCCATGGACTGCAGCACGCCAGGAACCTAAGTTTTCTACAATCATATCTTTAAACACTTCCATTTGAATTGCATGTCCCCACCATCAGGAGGAGCTGTGCATCTCGCTTTAGATGTCTGTCCCTTGCTTCCACGGTTATAATCTCCTCACTGTTTGCTCCTCTCTAACCCCTTCCTTGTATTTAGAACTGCCCACTCTTTCCCTTCCACTCACAGACTACACGCTCTGTGGTGTGAATTCCGCTTGTGGGCAGCCTGCAGCCTGGACGTTAGCACTTGGGTTTCCACTCCAGTGGCTGTGCCTCTTCACCCCCTGTTCAGGGAGCTTTAAACGCCCTGCTGTTGCCTCAGACTGAAAGCCACCAGGAGGCCTCATGGTAAGCTGCCCTCCTGTTTGTGTGGGTGGTGAAAACACACTCCTTGGTAACGAGGCAACCTGATACAGCAGAAAGCCCAGTAGGTCTGGGTTTGGATCCTGGCTACTTCTTTAACCAGCAGTGTGAAATCTTCAGCTTCATCTCTGAAACAGGAGTTTCTGAAGTCACACTGGGGGTTCTGAGGCTTAGAAAAGAAATGTGTAAGGTGCATGGGCCATGTATAATGTGTGAAGTTCTCCACAAATGGCAGTCATCCGGTGGGTCCTGCATCCAGAATCCACCTCCCCCTTTATCAGCTCAGCTCAGACAGTCAGCAGGCTGTGTACCCTAACAGCCCATCTGCTAGTTTTTGGGGTGAATTGAGGGTTAAAGGGAAACTTACGGAGAGGGATCCGATGAGGAATCACAGAATGTTCCAGCCAGTTGACTTGCAGAGAAATGGCTTGGTTAGTTTGGGTTTGAAAGGGAATTCTCTACTGCCTCATTTTTGACATCCCCCAAGTGAGCAGTCACTAGCCTTTACCCTAAAGCTAGCCCTTGATAAGTGGATTCAGCTGTAATATAGTTTGAAATCAGGGAGTGTATGCCTCCAGCTTTGTTCTTCGGTTTCGAGATTGCTTTGGCTATTTGGTGGGGTTTTTTTGTTTGGATTGTTGGTTCTATCTTTTGAAAAATACCATTAGGATTTTGATAGGGATTGCGCTGACTCTGTAGATTGCCTTGGGTAATTTGGACATTTTAGCAACATTAATTTTTCAATTCATGGACACAGACTATATTTACATTTATTTATGTCTTCTTCAATGTCTTTAATTAATGTCTTATAGTTTTTAATATACAGGTGTTTCACATCCTTGGTTAAATTTATTCCTAGGTGTTTTACTGTTTTTGATACAATTGTAAATGGGATTGTTTTCTTAATTTCTCTGATAGTTTCTTAATTTCTCTGATAGTTATTAGTGTATAAAACACAACTGACTTCTATATGTTAACTTTGCACCCTGCAACTTCACTAAATTCATTTATTAGTTCTAACAGTTACTTTGGTGGAATATCTGGGGTTTATATATAGTACTATGTCATCTGAAAATGGCAGTTTCGGTTTTTCCTTTCCAATTTGGGTTCCTTTTCATTCTTTGCCTTATTGTTTTAAGACTTCCAATACTATGCTGTATAAAAGTGGCAAAAGTAGGCATCATTGTCTTTTTCCAGATCTCAGAGGAAATGCTTTCAGCTTTTCATCATTGAGTACGGTATTAGCTATGGGCTTATCATATATGGCCTTTATTATATTGAGGTATAGCCCCTCTATATCCACTTTGCCAATAGTTTTTATCATAAATGGGATGTTGAATTTTGTCAGATGCTTTTTTTTACAGCTATTGAGTTGACTATATGATTTTATCCTTTTTGTTAATATGGTGTATCACTTTGAATTTGCAGATATTGAAGCATCCTTGCATCCCTGGAATAAGTTCCATTTGGTCACAGTGTATGATCTTTTTAATGTATTGTAGCATTTGATTTACCTAATATTTTGTTGAGGATTTTTGCATCTAATGTTCATCAGGCATATTGGCCTGTGTGTGTGTGTGTTCAGTTGCTTCAGTCATGACCACCTCTTTGTGGCCCTATGGACTATAGCCCACTAGACTCCTCTGTCCTTGGGATTCTCCAGGCAAGAATACTGGAGTGGGTTGCTATGCCCTCCTCCAGGGGGTCTTCCCAACCCAGGGATTGAACACGTCTCCTGCTTTGCAGGCAGATTTTTTTATCATCAGGGAAACCATATTGACCTGTAACTTTTATTTTTTTGTGGCACTTTTGTCTCATATTGGTATCAGGGTAATGCTGACCTTGTAAAATGTGTTTGGAAGAACTCCCCCTTCTGTTTAAGAAGGATTGGTATTAATTCTTCTTTGGATATTCGGTAGCATTTACCAGTGAATCCATTTGGTCCTGGATTTTTGTTGGGACGTTTTTGATTCCTAACTCAATCTCTTTGTTAATCATCCTGTTC